GGGTCCCTGAAGGCCAGGGTGGGGGATTTAAACTCTTCCCCAATCATACTCAGGCCTGCCAGGCCCTGGCTACACCCCTCCCCAACTCAGCTTCCCTTGGCCACTGCAGAAGAGAAGGGAAGGCTTGGGCTACCACCCCCTAGCTTCTAGCCTGAGCCACTGCAGGCATATGCCTCCATTTCCAGAATAAAAAATGAATGTCTATTCACTTTTAAATTAGTTCAATCTACACAGGTTAGACTACCCTGCAAAGATTGAATCAATTCAGGCTTGTGCTTATTGAATCTCTGTACTTAGCCCTAGAGTGTAACAAGAAATAGAGAATGGAGAACAATTATATTTGAAACTAGTTAGTTATTAACATTAACTAAGTATAGAATTTGGACTGTGCTAAATCACAAAAGAAACTTCCTAAGAGAAAGATCTATTAAATCTGGAGAAACATTTTTCCAAAGTAATGTTAGAAGCAATGTGAGTTATGTCATTTTAAACCTAGATTTTGAAAATATTTGAAAATACAACAAACAAAATACTGGCAATGGGAGGATCTAATACCAGAAGGATGTGCATCTCCAGTTTCCTCTTCTATCATGTTGGTTTCCTCCTTTGATACATTAAAAAACACCCAAAGTAACTGCTCACCAACAATATTGTACCACGTTGGTCTACTACCAACTGAAAATATAAGAGGCTTAGTAGTGATCTGCTACCTGAATATGCTCCAATGTGTACAGATTATACCAAAAATGAAAAAACAAAAAACAAAAAAGAAACAGCACACAGAGATGCATAAAATGAAGTAAAAAAATAGCACAATGAAATGTGTAAAGTGAATACATTGCTGTATGCTGATAAGGCGTTTGCTCCAACACTATTCAGGTTATTTTAGACAGTGCTATAGAGCTCCACTAGCAAGTATGTTAACGTGCCAAAAATTCCTAAGTGTCTTTTTCACAACACTGCTGTCAGCTGGCAAGTAAGACTTTGAAATGCATTTCTGGAAAGGGAATTCTTAAGAACTTGTTTAAACCTACCTGGTTTGAAATGGGGTAAAGAATGGACTCCTGGCCAAGTGTCTTCATTTGGCGTTCCAAGCACCTATTAGCAAAGGGGAGGAGGGGGAAGACAGAGAGAGAGAAAGACTCTTTAATTTATAGCCTACTCGTGCTTGGCAATTATATAGAGCCATTTTTCCAAAGATCTCAAAGCACTTTATAGAAGCTTAATTAAAGTTTATATTGTAATGAAGAGGAAGGTTAATCGACTCATCACAAATGAGTCAATGACAAACAGGAGAGTAGATATAGCTGCTCTGACTCCCATTCCTTCAACCTTCACTAATGAACTAGATCATCTATATATATTAAAGCTGATTTCCTATTGACAAATGTCAACCTATTAGTACATCACAGACAGTAGAAATTGCAGAGACTAGTTCTTTGAGGTTATTAGAAAGAAAAATCTTTGTACTCATTAATAAACTGAATAGATGCATACAACTTAAACTATATAGGAGCTTGCACAACTGCTGTTAGGACAGAAAAGATACACAAAGGATGAAGACTGCATTATGAGCCAGATTACATGAAGGATGGGGGCAGATTAACAGATTATACTGAATTAAGAGATGGGAAAAAGATTTATCATTTATCATCAGATTTGCATTAGCTGTTTTATGTCTGTTCTATCCAGGGTAAGTAGAAGATAAAACACAGTAATTTAGCACAGTGGTGTAACTAAGGCAGGGCAACTGGGGCAGCTGCTCTGAGTCCTGACTTGGAGGCAGGGTCACTGGAAAGAACAGGTTGCTGCTACTGCAGATGCAGCCACAGCCACAGCCATGCAATTGCTCCAGCAGTGTGGCACCAACCAAAAGTCATAGATTCATAGGGAAGTAGGACTGGAAGGGACCTCACAAGGTCATTTAGTCTAGCCCTCTGTTCAAAGCAGGATCATCCATGAGTAGACCATCTCAACCAAGTGCCTGTTTAACTTGCTCCAGAAAACTTCCAAGGATGGAGATTCCACAATTTCTCTAGGTAGCCTATTCCAAAGCTTGACTACTCTCATAGTCAGCAAGTTCATCCTAATCACCAAACTAAATTTCTCCTCCTGAAGCTTGAGGTCACTGCTCCTTGTCCTGCCCCTACTACCACAGACAAAAGCCCATATCTATCTTTTCTGTACTCGCCCTATTTGAAGACTTTTCAAATGGCCCCTCAGTTTTTTCTCCAAATGAAATAATCCTAGGCCTTTCAGCTTTTCCACCTAAATTTTGCTTCCCAGAACCCTAATACATTTTGCTGCTATGTGCTGGACTCTGCACAAAACTGTTCACATCCTACTTGAAATGTGAGGCTCAAAACTGGCCACAGTACTCCAGATCAGAGGCCTCACCAGTCCTGAATACAGCAGAAGAATCACTTCTCTTGAAGTGATTTGCAGGTGACACTCCTATCAGCCAGGATGTTATTGCCTTTTTTTTTTGGAACAAGAATCATAGGATCATAGAAAATTATTGTTGGACAGGACCTCAGGAGGTCATCCAATCCAACCCTGTGCTTAAACCAGGACCATCCCCAACAAGATCATTCCAGCCAAGGTTTGTCTAGCCAGGTGCTAAAAACCTCCAAGGATGGACAGTCCACAACCTGTCAGGGTAACCTGTACCAGCATTCTACTACCCTCCTCCAATTTGTTCACATCCTTTGTGTGGTGGGGAGCCCAAAACTGGACACAGTACTCCAGATGTGGTCTCACCAGTGCTGAACAGAAGAGAAGTATCACTTCCCTTGACCTGCTGGCAACAGTCCTACCAATGCAGGCCAGTATGCAATTAGCCTTCTTGGCAATAAGGGCACACTGGAATGTTATGGAAATTGAAGTAAAAAGGGCATACTTCAGCCTTTTCTGAATCATCCATAACTAGACTGCCTTCTGCATTCAGTAAGAGTCTACCTATGGTTTCTCCAGTCTTTCTCTTACTTTTGACACACTTGTAGGATCCCTTTTTATTGTCTCTTCCCAGCTGCATCTCAAACTGCATCTTGGCCTCCCCAATCTTCTTTCTGCATGCCCATGAGATACTCTTATACTCTGCCCTAATATTATGACCAAGTTTCCATTTTTATAGGATTCCTTTTTGAGTTGCAACTCATTGAAGAGATTGCTGTCTAACCAGGTTGGCCTTCTGTTACACTTCCTATTCTTCTGTCGTATCAGGATAGCTTGTTCCTGCACTCTTAAGAGGGCCTCATTACAGTCAGTTGTCCTGGACTCCTTTTCCCCTCAAACTTGCCTCCCAACGGATTCTGCCCACCAACTGCCTGAGTTTGTTATAGATTCTTTTCTGAAGTCCAGTGTCCTTATTCTGTTGCTCTCCCCCTTAGGATCATGAACTCTTTCATTTAATGGCCACTGTCACTCAAGTTACCTTCCTGTTTGCGAGCATTAAAATCAAGATGAGATTCTCTCCTCACTGGCCTTTCTACCATCTGCACCAAAAAGTTATCCCCAACACACTCCACTAATTTGCTGGACTGCTTGTGCACTTTTCCTCCCAAATGATGTCCCATTATTTAAAGTCCTCCATAAGAACCAAGTCCTGCAATCTGGAAGCTTCCATCACTAGTTTAAAGAAGACTTTGTCCACCTCCTCCTCTTGGTTCGGAGGCCTGTAGCAGACACCCACCATGACATCCCCCCTGCTGCTCTCCCCTCTGATCTTTACCTGGAGACTTTCAACAGGCCTACCTTTCACCTTCTAATGCACCTCTGAACACATGTACATCAACTTTATATAATGCAACATTGCCTCCTTTTTCCCCTGTCTATTCTTCCTGAACAAGCTATACTTATCCAAGGCAGCACTCCAGTCATGTGAACTATCCCACCATGTCTCCATAATTCAATTACATCATAATTCTCTGCTTGTACTGGGACCTATAATTCTCTCTCTTTGTTCCTCATGCTTCTCACATTACTGTACAAACATTTCAGGTATCTGACTATCCTATCCTCTTCCTGAGACACTGTTTTTGCTTACTATGTTTTTATCCAGGTCTGCAGGCTCTTTACTTTCCTCTCAGCTTTTGTCTCCATACCTCAAGGAACCTAGCTGAAAGCCCTCCTCACTAGGTTAGCAAGCTGGGACACGAAGGCAATCTTCCCTCTCTTCATCAGAAGTTGTGTCCTCGTTGTGTCATCTGGTGGACTCCATGATCAAAGAAGCCAAAGCCTTGCTGGTGACACATCTATGCAGCCACATGTGTCTACTCCTAGCCAGGCCTTTACTCTCGACTAGAAGCATCAACAAGAACGCTACCTGGACCCCTGTCCCCTTCACCTTTGCACCCAGAGATGTGTAGTCATTTTTTATCTGCTCAAGGTTGCCCCTGGCAGTATCAGGGCCCCTGTGGATGAGCAGCATGGAATAGTAGTCAGAGGGCTGGATGAGTCTCTTCCATAATGTCTTGGATTTGGACTCCTGGCAGGAAGCAGACCTCCCAAGCTAACAGGTCAGGGCATCAGACAGATTT